TGTGTACACCCATTAGATTTGACAAGTGGCCCTGCATGATCTATGTGCCACGTATCTAATATATCCCTAGGTTTTTCTCCTTTTTGCCAGAAACCACTTCGTCGTCCAGTGTGAGATTTTCCTAGGACACAGGCCTTACAATTTCTTATGTATTTTTTTAGACATTGTCCCATCCTTGGCCATTGCAGATCTTCACGCATTTTTGCAATGCATTTGTCCCATCCAATATGTGAAGATTGATCATGGTACAGCTGCATTGTTTTCAAACGAGCCGCCATTGGGACAAAACACTTAAATGGTTCAGTTTTTGTCATTATTAGTCCATCATTTACTGTATAGTCAGTATACTCCGACGGATTTTCCTTTACATTTTTACAAAATTGGTCATATTGTTGAAAGTCTTTTAAAGTTGTGCACGATTTAGTTATGTCCTTTAAAACGCTAACACTTTTAACTGGATTTCGGCTAAGATAGTCTACATGCGCTAATTTGGGTCCAGGTCGATATTCGATGTTGAAGTCATAATCTTGCATTATCATCCACCACCTAGCTACTCGTGGATGTAAATTCTTTTTAAGAGCAGTAGCTCGAACAGAATTACAGTCAGTGTATATGGTAAAATGTGTTCCATACAGGTACACGCGAAAATGTTCCACCGCATCGACAATAGCCATGGTTTCCAAATCATAAGAATGATACTTGGATTCATAGTTTGTTGTTCGTCTGCTATAATATGCGATAGGATAAGTAAGATTATTCTCTTTTTGGAACAAAACTGCACCTATACCAATCGAACTAGAGTCTGTATGTAATTCGCTTTGCAGCTTCGGATTAAAAATTCTTAGAACAGGTTTATCAGTCAATTTCTCAATGATTAATTGTCTTGCACACTCGCACTCGTCAGACCATTCAAATGGTTCACTTTTTCGCAACAGTTTAGTGATTGGAGCCGTAATAACCGAAAAACGTTCTATAAAGCGGCGAAAATAACTGGCGAGACCCAGAAACTGTCGTACACCTTTCACATCTTTGGGAGCAGGCGCTTCTTTAAGAGCTATAACTTTTCTAGTACTAGGCCGTACCGTTCCGTTGGCAATAATAACTCCAAGGTATTCTATTTCAGTGGCAAAGAAGACACATTTCGCATAATTTAATCTAAAACCCGCACTCGCTAAGGCATCTAATACCACTTTAAGATGCTGGAATCCTTCTTGTACAGTTTTTGAGGGAACCAAAACGTCATCCATGTACACGAAAGCCATATTACCTTTTAGTCCTTCTAAGGCTTTATCAATAGCGCGCTGATAGACGGCCGGAGAGTTAACAAAACCAAACGGCATTTTATTATATTCAAACAAGCCATCAGGGGTGATAAATGCAGTAAAGTGTTTCGAGTTTTCTTCAATTTCCATTTGGTGGAATCCGGACTTCATGTCCAGAGTTGTAAAGAAGCTGGCATGACATAGTGCATCAATTTGGTCCAAAATGAAAGGCAAGGGGTAGCGTTCTCTAATAGCTTTTTTATTAATTTCCCTATAATCGACGCACATTCGTAAATCGCCAGTTTTCTTTCTTACAAGCACAATTGGGCTGGCATAAGAAGACTCTCTCGAATTATTCCACTGACCAATAATTCGTGGACAATTTCTTGTACTTTTATTCTTTCAGCATGTGCTAACCGCCGAGGTCGAAATGCGACTGGCACATCGTCCTTTAAACGAATTTTCAATTCACCTGTCGTTATATTAGTAGCAGTCTTTTCTTGGGCATCTAACAGAAGTTGCTTTAATTTCAGTTTTGTGTGCTCGTCCAATCCTGACATATTAGCGTCAGTAATGTTGCTGAATGTCGAAACAGTCATAATTTGAGGCGCGTTGGATAGGTCATGGTACAATTCTAGTCCATTGGAACTTTTATCGACACGTACGTGACTTTGTCCAACAACATCCCAACCGATAATAGCGTCAACTGTTCCTGGGATTACATCATCGGGCACTATCGTAAACACAATTTCCAAAGTTATTGCAGGCAACACCGCGATGATTTCACATGTCCCGATACTACGCACAAGTTTTGTTCCAAATCCGGTTAGAAAGCGTCCGTCTTTATGAACAATGGCGTTGAGTCGTAGGGCAGCCGATTCACTTAAAATCGACAGATCTGCACCGCTGTCGATAAGATACGTAAAACTGATTGCTTTGTTATTGTATATTAAAGTTGCAATCGGAGATGTGTCAAGATCACGTCCTCGTCTAATTAACATTACAGTTTTGGGTTTCCCATGCTTCGACCAGCAATTTTTTTCTAAATGTCCTGGCTTTTTGCAATGATTACACTGAGGGATACCAGTGACTGCAGATTTATCATGAACGTCTTCTTTATGTAACTGATCTTTGCATACTTGATGACAGACATCTTTTTGATGTCCCTGCTGCCCACATTGGTAACATGTTCCTTGAAAGGTTCCGTATGGCTTCCTAAATCTGGTATTCCGATCTCGGTGTTCTCTTTGGCGTTCATATTTCCGTCTAGATGATCCTGCAATGTCCGAATGTTTGGGTAGCCTTGAGGTCCTAACTCGCCGTGCATCAAAGTCACTTAATAACTTCATTAACTCACGTTCTGATGCCGGTTTTTGAATTTGTACGGCAGAGCGTGCTTCATCACAATCTAGACCGTATTCCACCATACTTAAGATTATATTCCACGGTAACTGCACGTAAAACCTGCTAATGCAGCGCAATTTTTGAAGTCCATATTCACACAAAGATTCGCAATAATGGCTCCGTAAGACCGCGGCCTTATATGCGCGCGCTCCAGGTGTTTCGCGATCAGGGAACGCAATCGTAAAATCATTGCAGAAATTTGTCCAGCTTCGAGAAAGAGGTCGCCAATCACAATAATATTGATAGCCTCGGTTTTTCAATGCCTCACCAGCCTTGGCTATCATAAGAATGTCGCTAACATTTAATTCCTTTTTTAATTTCGTAGTGTCGTCTAACCATTCCTTGATGGAATACGTACTTTGGTCGGGATCGTAACTGGTCAATTTGAATGCCGAGTTCGCATGTCCGGCTGATGTTGTCGCCTGCGCGTTTAAGCTCTCCGACTCGGAGGCGCTGGGCGTTGGCGTTGATGCGGTCGCCATATTTGATAGCTTGGTGAGCTGCTCTTGTTGCGATGCCAAAATAGATAGCAGCGCTTCTGGCCAGTTAATCTTTTTCTTTTTCTGTGCGGGACCAGGTGAGGGCTGTTCATCCTGAAAGTCATCGATCTCCGGCACTTCTACATCAAGTTCTGGATGCTCCTCCGCCATTTTTACAACTTCACATTAATTGTTCTTTTATTTCACTTACACTACTTTAAATAGTTTATAAGTTCATCCCACTTCTGATGTTAAATGAGAGAGGGTTTCTACCCCAAATAAATACCACTTAGGTCCTTTTACAATACCTATTTTATTTTACAACTACGTCACATTTAATTTACTCCGCCCCATTACGTCTCTCTACGTCGACTGGTGTTTCTCCCCACTTTTCTCGTTGATCTCGTCCGCCTGCCATCGAGTGGTTTCGAAGCAGTTGCGTAGTCGCAGATCGCAGATGCCTTAAGTAGGAAGATAGTCCGCAGTAGGGATCATGTAAGGGTTTAAGAACCCCTAAAGTACACCACCGTTAACATGTATATGTAGCAATATTCTTCATATATTTCATTAAAATGCACAATTGGTTGATAAACAATATTTATTATGAATTAACAATAAAGTTTCTTTAAAAAAAAAAACAAACGAGGTCAGGTAGGTTTTTTATTTTATTTTTAGTATTTGACATTTTACGCAGTGTGGCATAAGTCAGAATGATAAGTTATCATAGAAACATGGGAAGCAGAAATTTTTTAAGCGTCTAGCATGCCGTGTAAATGTTGTTTTTACAGGCGCATTTTGTTTTCAAAATATCGACGTCGAAGCAAATTTCGTTAACATTTTGAAAGATTGTTCTTTCATTACAGTTTCGATGCTTCTCTACCCTTTGTGGAATTTACTGAAACTTTTTATGCCCGAGCAGGTGTGTTCTGTAAGCGGTTATTTTAAACACAAAAAGAAAGGAAGCTAGATGCTTAATAAATGTCTGCTTCCCATTTTTTTATGATAGCTACCATTCTGGCTCATGCCACACTGCGTAAAATGTCAAATACTAACATAAATATAAAATAAAAGAACATCCTACCTGACATCGTTTGTTTTTTTTTTAATGAAATCTTATTGTTAATTCATAATAAATATCGTTTATCAACCAATTGTGCATTTTAACGAAATATTTGAAGGATATTCCTACATATACATAAGTACTTATTATAATATTTCGTTTGTTCATAATTTTCAAGATGAGAAAAATAATAAAAAACCATATGGTGCGTTTTGAAAAAAAAAAGAAATGTTACGCGACGGACTCGAACCAGCGATCTCATGACTGTCAGTCCCGAACGCTACCAATTAGGCCACGCTCCCAGTTGAACAATGTGTCACATTTAATGGATTTAGCCGTCACGTAAAACTTCAAAATCGATTATCTTGGTAATTTATAAACGTTGCGTCGAACTACATCGGAAAATTCTTATTGAAGGTCCAAACTACACGTACCATGAATATCAAAAATTACAAAAATCCGACTACCTTACCTTCTCCTTGTAAGGTGGAGGAAGTGCAATTAAGTCTGTAACTGGTAGCGACCAGGTATATAGGCCACAGTAAAACATCCTGAAAAACCATTGTATTTTAAATATTTCAAGAGTAAATACCACTGTAAAGTCAGTAATTCTCAACAAGTAAATCATGCATATTTATTTTAAATTTGACTTTTTTATTCCCAATTAAAAAACTATTAATTACATATTATACACAGTAAACTTGAAATGTATGAACACATTTCATATCTACTTTGAATAAGGTGATGTCTGTGTACAAAATTGTTACAATAAAAAAAAAAACAATTTTTGCAGTTCTTTTATTTTACGAATGTAAGTGAAAATAATTATCATGATATAATAAAATCCATTATATCCCTTTTTATCAACCCATTTTGCCAAGATATAAAATTCTTATTCTAAAAAAATATAATTAATTATATATACACGTTGCATTTCAAAGAAAATAATAACAATAAACAACTATTTTGAGTAAATATATACAAATATATTCATAATTACAATAAACCATACACATAAACTCTTTAATAATTTAAATTTAAAATTATATTTATATAAAACAAATTTGAATAAAATTAAGGTCAAAGCCCACTAGTAGCATACCATTCCACACAATGCCACACCACTTGATGTGGGATTACGTGGGTTCAGTTGTGTGGACATTTACAACAATTTTTTTTTTACATTGAAGGAAAATGGCAATAGTAGCTTCGTATATAATTTAGAGTTTGGAAGCAGTGACAGAATTTTTAGAAAATTATGCAGCTTTATTACAAACAAAAAAGAAAATATTGGGTCAACAAAATTCCTAGAAGTCAAGACAATTATGGTGTTTGTCACCTCTTATTATTTGCTAGATCTTGGAGGTAAGGAGGTTTAATATGCAGTAATAAGCTTCGGATACATCTACAAATTTAGTATCATCACATGTCGGGTAACATGGTATGGTGCAGCGTGTGCAAATATGTTTTAAGCATATTTAAAATCAAATGGAAATTATATACACGTACTCTTATCACATGGCGAGGCGTGGCATGGCATGGGGTGCATAGCTGCTAGTGGGTTTCGGCCTTTGCAGTAGTGTAAGTAGCAGAGATATATAAAACTAAACTTAAAATACTGTATGGGAAATAATATTTGGTAAGATGTGAAAAATTAGAATTAAATGATAAAGCACATTTTTTTTATTTATTTAAAAAAACGATTTAAGATTTATTTTTTTAAATATTTTTTAAATTATTACGTTATATCCTACAGAAAAATAAAACAACAATAATAAATTAGTTGAATATCAATGAAATTATATTTCGTATTTAAATGTCTGACTGATTAAAATGTGAAATATGGGAGTATATAAAATATTTAACAAAGTTTTAAATGAAGAAAAAAGAAGTGTCCAAAAATCAAATAATATTTTCATTATAATAATAAATATATAAAAATATACCATTTTTGCACTTGTACTGTCCAATGAAATTAAAATCTGATGATATTACCAAAAGAAAACCTGTAACAAACATTTTATATTACTCACTGCCAATGATGTGAAAGCATTTTCAAATCTTTGTTTAGTGCCTACTATTACAAGGCCCTTTTTAATATACAGGGTGTCCCACCAGAAATCGCGACTATCAATATCTGGGAAAGTACTGATCCGATAAATCTGAAAATTTGGCAACCTAGCAAAGGCAGTATGACCAACACAGATAAAATATTTGGAACTATTTTTATGGCATTTCCGGTTATACTGGAAATCGACTAACTTTTTTATTTTAAATGGGACACCCTATATATTAATTGCATTTTCGGATTCTAGATGAAATTTGAGGGTCACTATTAAATATTCCCTATACCTAGCAGTTATTGCAGATTATTTCAATAGTCAATAAATCACTGATAAAAACTATCATCACTTTCAAGGTTCATAACATCTTCTAAACTAGAGGAGATACAGAATTGTCTATCTAAAATTACTTGAGAGTTGAGCCATCTATCTGTTTAGCAGGGCAATAAAGTCATATCTATCGGGTGTCCAAAATTCATGCAAGATTTGAATTTTGCGCCATTTGTGCAGTAAAGTGTTGGAAATGAAAAAAAAAGAGAGTATGTCAGCTGACAATTCAGGGAGACTGGATCAATTAATGATCTTAAACAGTCTGGTCATCCTTCAACAAGTCATTCCACACAAAACATTGAAGCAGTTTGTGAGTGTCGCTGAGAGTGCATGAACATCACTTCGGCACTGTGGTCGTATTTTCTACAGCATATTCTCACAAAAGATTTGCATCTTTATGCTTATAAAATTCAACTGAAGCTACTGAAGAGAGTTCGTTGAATGGATTATAGAACAAGTGGATGCTGATTTTTCGAACAAACTCATCTTCAGCGATGAGGCTCATTTTCATCTTGATGGCTTCATGGAACCATTCTTCTTCAAAAATACAGCTGGCCTATTATTGTCTGACCAATGGTATTCACTATCATGATGTGATAATCCAGTTTTTTGGGCCTAAATTGCAAGATATAGATGTAGGCGTGGTGTGGTTTCAACAAGACGGTGCCACATAGCATGAGAAAGAATAACCCTTTTTAGTAGAGACAATCATATATGCCAACCTCATAGTGCACATTGTTGTGAAGAATTACTCAATTTTTTTTACAAGATCAATTTTTGACATTATGTACTTTGGACATAAGTGCCAAAAAAATTTCTTCTTTGTCGCGATATTCTGGCAATATTAGAAATATTTAAGAAATGTCAAACCGCAAGTGACAAACTAGAATTATAAAATTTACTTATTTAAATTTGTAGAACAATATTGACTTTTAAATTAGAATTAATTAATGAATTAAAATTATATCAATGTTATTGAGCATGCACATTAACGATAATTTCATGTAAGCGAAGTAGACTCATAACAGGATATCATACAAGACAAGTTTGGTTATGGTTACGTGTATGTCAGCTTTGCGGTTTCTTGCTTTCATTTTCCTAAGTTTTGTAATATTTTTTGATATATTATCATGTCTAATATACCAGTTAGTATGAGTGCAATTTTGGTGTACTTTGAACTGTAGCCGCTAGACGTGACAATCTCTTCCTCAGGCAAGCCGTTGACTATGTACCCGACGTGACCGACAAACACAAAATACCTAGACACCAACTTTTTGACCCTGGGTGACCACCCTAACGACATCCCCTCCCTGCCCGCTAACCTTTTCTGTTTCAGAGACCGCCAGGATCAAGAAACGAGGACAACGGTGTCGCTGTGTACACACACCCCCCCATATCCTCCTTACCCCTCCCCTCCCGCGCTAGGCTAAGGGCCACAGCAAAGCGCATCCCAGGCTACATAGCCGCACTAGCCTACCCAACCATACCACACATAAACATGACACCACCCCCGGGGTTTACACAGACGAGCCGGCGAAGCAAGAAGAGCGCCAGAAGAAAGGGCCCTAGACGGCGGGGCCCAGCAGGACAAGAGGTCCCACAAAGTGCCTACACCGGCCGCATTTGCGGTCGGGGTAGACGACGGATGGAGTCCACCTACAAAGGCTGTCCAGGCCTACACGAGATGAGGCAGGATAAAGAGGGGATAATCCCCCTCGATCCCAAATCATTGAGGCCAATTTCTAGCCATGGAATAATGGCGCGTGTGTACTTTGAACTTTAAAGAAAAAGAAGCTCATCGAAAAGGGAGAAAATTCTGTTTCCTCTGGTTATTGACAAAAAAATGCTTTACGATGATGAACTTCCAGTTATCAGAGAAGTTCAAGAAAGTATGAGGAGGAAAATATACAGGGTGATTCAGGTTTAATCTGGATAACTTCAGATTAAAATAATGTTCATTCATGATATTAACTTATTTCCTAAATCGCACCGTTTCGGAGATAGAGGGCATTGAAGTAGGAATTTTTTTCCCGTTTTTCCCTCATATCACCCTGTATATAGTCGAGATAAAGTGCTAGTTTACCTACAATAAACCTGTGGGGAATATTCATCTAAACATATCGCACTTTTAGGTTTTCCTAACCTATGGACAAATATCCAAATGCACTTGTCCTAATCATGCATGTATCTAATCCTAAAGGATTAGATACATGACAACTCTTGCCATCTTTGGTCACACCAATTTGTCTACTACAGACATGGTCTGTAAATGGAACAAACCAGAGTAGTTCAGAAAATCAACCACAAACCGCTAAAGATGACAACAATGACAGTTCAAAAAAATTCACCTGCGTATGAGAATATTCTTTTCGAGCATGCGCATTGAAGTTGTCAAAAAAATTGATTTTTTGTTTATATCTCCGGAATCTATTAACCGATCTCAATAAAATTTGGTACATATAATGTATAGGCCTTATATTCCCTGAAATATGAGCTTTAAAGGTTCAACCAGTAGTGTACAACTGGACAGGGGTTACCCCCTTTTTTTCCAAAAAACCTATGCCACTGCATTTTTTACATGTTATTGTAACTTATTTATATTTTAATGCACAAAATACGTAAAAAAGGTGACTTTAATTTTTTCCCGAAGATTCGCCGTTCTCAAGTTATTCATACCAATACAATCCCCTTGTGGCAGACACTTCTAACGATAATATTACAAGAATATTTGTTTATGTTTAAAAGTAAGTGCAATTTGAAAGCACATTTACAAAATTATTTACGCTCCTTTCTACACCATCTGTGAGGTAGTGTGCGATATAAACAAAAAATCAATTTTTTTTTTAAACCTCAACACCCTGTATCTCTAAAACGGGGACATTCCAGACCTATGTTTATAAGGCAAACACATATTATTTTAAAGAGATCTATCTACCCTCGAAGTTTCCTGCATAAAATTCGGATCACCCTGTACAGCACATGGGTCAGATTCGGTCTGTACAATTTCAACTGATAACTTGTTGTGGGTTGCCTAAATATGTGACGTCAGACTAAAAGAGTCTATTTAAGTACTGCACGAGTTATTTCCTGGTCGTGTAATTTCTCGTTTTGATTATCAGAATTGGCCGCCCATATCATAAAATTTAAAGCCATTGGACTTTTCTCTTTACAGTTTCTTGAAGTTAAGGTCCCACACCTTGAAGGAGGAAATTGAGCACTGTATTAATAAAATTCAGTCAAATTTATGCAAAATGGTTATGGAAAATTTCAACAAAAGCGGCTATTTACCCGATATCCTATTCCATATATATTACCTTGTACTGTATACTTTATGAATCAATAAAAAATTAACAATTTTTAATTAAATATCTGTTTTCTATCAAAATTACTTCTTACGTGAATTTTGGACACCCTTTAGTTCCAAAATGTTCCTTTTAATTAGAAAGTGTATCAGTTTAAACATTTGCTGTTTATCAATGTAACAAGTGGCATAGCTGTAATAGATCTTCAAACAGGTGATGTTTATCCTTGTTGTAAGACAAGGCATATGTATCAACCCATCTCTCACATAAACTTGTTTATAAAGGAAGGACAAATATGACAATATTATGATTATTTGGGCATGCTTTTTCATAACATAAATTTTGTGGCTAGGTATAGCATTAATTTATATGAACAAAGTTTTTGTTATTAAATGTGAAATAGAGAATTACTGCTAAGGATGATGCAAAAGTCATTAAATTCTCAAGCAGATTTATATGAAGTATATAAAAATATTGAACAATTTTAAGAAAAATAAGACATGTATCATTTCTTGAAACATTGAAAACTGAAAAGTTGGTTGTTTTATTTTTTCTGTATCTTTTTATTGTAAGTATTACACTTCAACTTGATTTAATGTTTCCTCATATTTTGCAGCTGTTATTTGTAAAAAAATTTTGAATCAAATTAAACAAATAAATGAATATCGCAAAAGTGACAAAATAAACTTTTGTTGAAAAAGCAACAAATTAAAAGATGCATTTATCTGGCTTCAAGTTGGTATTTTCATAGGAATTAATATAGTCTAAGCATGATAGAGAAATGCTTACAGAAATTATTACCTTGACAAAAAAAATACGACCATATAGAAAATTAAATTTTAAATTAAGTTTCTTGTTCTTTAAACTCGATCCAAAATGGTCAAAAAAAATCGCAAAGTTGCAAAAAACGGTTTTTCTAAAATAACTAAAAAAATTGAGCACCGATTGAAAAATTTTAAATGAGAAGGTTGTAGGTTTTAAAAAGATCTATCGACTGATTTTTTGTAAGTATCGATTGCTTTGTTACTTTTCGAGATATATCGAAAAAACCGTTAAAATCTTCTCTTTTCTCTTCTTCTATAACTCGTTTACATTTACATTCCCATATTTGCTATTTACTGCAAGCATAGCCCACGGCAAGCCAAAAAAGGACATTTTTGAAAAATTTAAAAATATTAATTATTTTTCGATATATCGATTTTTTTTAAAAAAAGGCGTTCTCGAAAATTGGCTGGGTCTTCTCAGTGGATAGCCCTACAGTAACGATTTTCGGTTTATTTTCTTCGTAAAGTTATATTATCATGCTGTTAAAAAATGTTGATGATTTTATTAATTTTAAGGATCAAAAAATGGCATTGAAAAAGTTGCACTTTTTTTGGGTGTTTTTTTCAAATAACTGTTTCAATTTTTATTTTATGAAAATGACTTTTAAAGAAAGAAACTGCTGACATTTTTTCACGAATTTAAAAAAAATTTTGAGGATGCAATTAACATTTTACAGTGTTGCGCTTGATGGAGATTAATATTGAATACTTATATTTTCAAAAAAAATAGTAGGATATGTTTACTTGATTTTTAGTATTAGTAATTGAGTAATAAACTAAGCGTGCAAGGCGTGTAAGGATATAGTAATAGCCCAGTGATGAAAATATCAAAATTTTCTTTGGCGCTTAACGTGTTAAACTTATTTTACACCAAAATTAATTATTGAAATGATGAAGTAATTGTTGAAAAGCCAGCAACAAGTACGTTAGTATGATTAATGGAGCAAAAAAATTAAGGTATTAAACGAAAAATATTGTAATATTCTTAATTATTAAAATGACGATAAAATAAAAAAAATGTAAATTAAATAAAAACTAAATATTTACAGGACTATTTTGCTTCAAAGGCGAAAATGACTATAATATTTGTGTTTAGCTACCCCAGATTAAGTATAAAAGAATTTTTGTACGGGGTCCAGAAGCCGAGATATCAAAGATTTTGCAAGCGCGAGCCATTTAGACTGCACATCATAGTTTTCTGAGCAAGTGCGCGCCGCTTCCCCCTACTTCTCCGTCCCATCCAGCTGACGCACTCAGTGTTTGCACGCTTCAATTGAGTACACTAAGTGCCTGCACGCTTCAATTTATTACTCAATTACTGATACTAAAAATCAATTAAACATATCCTATTTTTATTTTTTTTTGAAAATATATTTAATATTAACCTCCATCAAGCGCATCGCTGTAAAATGTGAAATTGTGTCTTCAAAATTTTTTTAAATAAAAAAATTATCTCGGCTCCAGAAGGACGTGGAAAAACATTTTTTTTTAAATTCGTGAAAAAATATCAGCAGTTTCTTTCTTTAAAAGTCATTTTCATAAAATAAAAATTGAATTAGTTATTTGAAAAAAAAACACCCAAAAAAAGCGCAACTTTTTCAGTCATTTTTTTATCCTTAAAATTAATAAAATCGTCAACATTTTTTAACAGCATGATAATATAACTCTTTACGAAGAAAATAAACCGAAAATCGTTACTGTAGGGCTATCCGCTGAGAAGATCTAGCCAATTTTCGAGAGTGCCTTTTTTTCAAAAAATCGATATAAAAAATAATTAATATTTTTAAATTTTTCAAAAATGTACTTTTTTGGCTTGCCGCGGGCTATGCTTGCAGTAAATAGCAAATATGGGAACGTAAATGTAAACGAGTTATAGAAGAAGAGAAAAGAGAAGATTTTTAACGGTTTTTTCACTATCTCGAAAAGTAACAAAGCAATCGATACTTACAAAAAATTTGTCGATAGATCTTTTTAAAACCTACACCCTTCTCATTTAAAATTTTTCAATCGGTGCTACATTTTTTTAGTTATTTTAAAAAACCGTTTTTTGTTTTGTTTTTTTTAAATCATTTTCGCCATTTTGGATCGAGTTTAAAGAAACTCAATTTAAAATTTAATTTTTTATATGGTCATATTTTTTTTTTGTCCAGGTAATAATTACCGCAAATTTAACATTAATCCGTGACAGAATGCTTGAACTAATAAAAAATTGTAGCAAACACTTGTAACGAGACCAAAACTAGGATTAAACCTGGTTTTGAAACCAATTTAATTGAATAACACACATTTTTTAAAATCACGATAATGGTAAAAGAACTTGTATTTTGGGAACAATTTAAAATAAATATTTGCGATTTGGTGATGTTTAACTTTACACATCTTTCAAAGAAAGCACAAGTTACATACATTCATTTTCGGGGAGATAAATGAATCATACCTACTTTAGTTTTAGCATAATAAAACGTACTTACAATTAAGATAAAAATGGATTTGGTGATTCGTTGTTCTGCGCCCAAGAAGAGTTCAAATTAGTGGCCACATTTCTATTAGCTGGTGTCCAAGGATCTTGAGTTGGTGGTATACTTCCTGATTCTTGATTCACTATGCCAGTAGAAGAAAACTGAGAATTTACATTATAAGGGGACTGGCCAACTGGTACAGAACTAAATGATCCACCAGGTGGGTTAAACGGTATAAACGGTTGCTGCTTGATTTCATTGATTGATGGTTTGTTTACTGTTGGATGGAAAACTGGTCTGGAGGGTGTTGTCGTGGAGGCATTTGAAAAGGGGTTCGCTGTTGAACTTGGGTTTGCCACTTTACCTGCGAGTTTTAACAAACAATTTTGGATATATGTAATTCAGTAACTGCATAATATAAAAATGAGCAAAAATCCAGAGATTATACTATAATACTTTTTCAAAATGTTATGTAAATCAATAATCTCCGTCTCTAATAATATCTTATGTCAATCATTGCTGTGATTATTCTAATTATTATTATTTCATAACAACTATGCTGGTAATAAATATATAGTGTAACTTTGAATTCGGTCAGAAAACTGAATTTTTCTTAAAACCCTTTTTTTCATAATTTTCATAATCATACTCCGTTGCTGCATAAGTTCCTGTAGGAACACATTTGGGAATTGTGGTATATGCTATTGTCAAATTTCATAATTTAAATAAAAGGTGGAGAATTTTATTAAAAAGCAAATTTGCACACTAAGGTTATGGTACTCTACAGACACTAAATACCTTGTATATAAGAGCCACACAAATCGATTTGCTGTGACTTCACCAGATGCATAAGACCTCAGTAGAGAAGGCTAGTCATTGTGCTTCATAAGCGTTCAGATCAGGATTGGATTCTGCTTAAATATAAACTCTGCAGAATATACCGAAGAAGAAAATAGTAAAAACAACCCGTATTTTGTTTAAAATTTTAAAACTTTTTAATACTTCATGTTTCAACTTTCCTAAATATGTTCCCTATCTACTTTACATAGTGACCGTAGTATGGCTCAGCTACTCTAGCCCAATGTCAGGGGTCACTGACAGAATAATAATTCAACTGTTTTTATAAACTTGAAATGATTTTAAAAAAATATTTCATATCAATTAGATTATTATTTTTATCTTGTATTATGTACTTTTTTAAAACAACAAAAATAATTATTTCTATCTGAATACCAATATTGGTTGTCCTTTAATAAATCTTGTAAAAATGTTTAACTTTTTAAAGATAAAATGTTTTTTAATGTAAAAAACTCCACCTTTTAATCATGCCCTGCATGTATGTATGTTATAAAAATTTTATTTTACGTAATGGCTGATTTACATTTTGTGAAGTAACAAGTGCAGGTGAGAAATGATTAGTTAACATGTTTTTATGGTGTCAAGTGTTAAGTGTAAACAAAATGTTCACACACTTTGATTTGCACTTGCTACTTAACAAAATGTAAATCAGCCATAAGTGATAAACATATAATTGACAAATAACTTTATTTGATGGTTGGAAAAACTGGTTCTAAGTATAATTATAAATAATTATTTGTCATCGTTACAGTGGTTTCTTGATCACTTAGATGACGAATATTTTATGATTTGGTGCAGGAAAAAATATTCTTGAAAAAATAATTATATTTTGCTTCATATGTTCACATCTCTATAAAATGAAATTTATAGCAAAAGTTGATAGTTTTGGATATTTCAAAAGAACCTTAATTTGTCATTAATGCGACGAATAATTAGCTATTGCAATTCAAGGGTTAAGTGGTGGAGCACGTTTGTGAACTTCCCCTTAAGGTTTTTAGGTACATACATACATACGATGTTGTTTTTTCTGTTGAATATTCTGTATGTTGTACCGAAAATAAAGGTATTTATTTATTAATATAAATTATTATTATTTAAATTTTAGTGTTTTCATAGGAGTGTACTTCCTAATACTACTAATTGTAAAATAAACAAAAAGATATAACTTTTTGCATTTTTGTTTCCTTCTACCGTTAATATGCATAATAATTCAAGTTATGCAACAAAAATTATGTTAAATACTTTGATATGACAAAAATATAGGTGCTAAAACCTACAGAGGTTGTTAGAAACTTCAATACAATTGTACATTCACGACGATTTATTTCCAAAATTTGTGAATACATTAAACTTACAAATTATTTTAAAATCTCTCCTTTAATATCTTTAGAATCGAGGTATAAAGTTTTAAGAAATTTTCATTTAATTCCTGGAACAACACAAAAATCATAGACGCGGACACATAATTTAGTCCTCATAAAAAATTGGGAAAGAAAATAAATTTATTTTACAACTGGTTTTCGAAGTGAGTACCTTGACTCCTTATGCAGGCAGGAGCCCGTTTCCTTATTTCACTTTGGAAGTTCTGTGTAATTTGTACGTTTAATGTATTCACAAATTTTGGAAATAAATTGTCGGGAATGTACAATTGTATTGATAGGCCAGTCATTATAGCTTTTTTTCGGGAAAAAAATACTATTAGAAGTTTCTCTGCGGAATATTGTTCCGAAACGTGTTATAAACAAAATATCAAAAAATCAACTCGAGACTAGTTGGGAAACTTTGTTAAAACAATAGTCAAAATTATGGAAAAGTGGTTTTTGACTCGCGTAAAAAAACTGTTATTCATAGAGAAAAAAGGTTTATACAAAAAAGGTAGATATTACATAAATCTGTGAAATAAAACAAGTCCGATTAAATTCCGATAATTTGTTTATGCGCAAGCGCTCAAAAATTGTCGAAAATGTCCGCTTTTTTCAATTGCTAATAATTAATGCAATTTTCATCACAGACACTTGTAATTCAGAATGTTTGAGGCTTTTTGCACCCTTAATAAGTGGTAAAAATTTCATCCCAAAAACTTCATTAGCTTGGCGTTGACGGAATTTATTATCTAAGAAGATGCTATTTTCAATTCACTTTTCCCAAGCTCCATGGGCGAAGTTAAGGGGGTGGCAAAATCCGAATTAGCCCCCCCAAAAACATTATTACACGTACACATCAGAACAGAAAATAAAAAACATACTTTTTTGACAAAAAAAAAAATAATTGTATAACTTCATATTTGATAGTTGTTTCAATTGAATCCAAGTCGGCGTCACTGCCCAACAGAAGTCGGAATTGATAATGAGGTTTTAAAGGCGGAAACGACCGTAATTAAGAACTGTGTCAGGAAACGGGACGAAAATATTAGTATATCTGATATTACATATGTTGTCAGAAAAGACACATTTCCAAATTTTAAGGTCAACCGTGGGTCAAGCAGTTCAGTTCTTTAGCACTTGCTAACATTGAAAGTGACATTTCAAAATCCCTGATTCTAGACGATATTCTGGAAGAATTTATAACTTTTAAAATAAAATTATGACAAAAAAAATTTTTTTTTTCATTTACTTTTAGTATTTATGGATTGGTAGAAAAATATGCTTACCTTACTTTGATACATACACAAAAATAGAATGAAAAAAATATATATATTTTTTCATATTAGGGCTTTAGCCCCCCCAGATCCGATGACTTAACTTCGCCCATGCCAAGCTCACAGGCGTAGTAGGGTTTCAATCATTAGTTATTTTTGTATCTAAATAGTTGTATTGACATTATGCATTTACTGATAATTTAATTTTTCAAATTTAATTTGTTTAAAAATGACTGAAAAAATGTTAATATTTATTAAATTGTTAAGCGCGCATGCTCCGCCTCGCTCTCCCCACTCGTTCGCTAGACCAAGTAATAGAACGCATCACCGCTATCTTCTTTTTCACAATTAAATAGTTGAATTCACCTTAATGTTAATGTAGGATATGAAAATATAGCTCTTAATGTATACCCTTTCCAAATTTCGGCTCTTAATATTAATAATTAAGGTCACTGCGATTAAATAAAAAAAAAATATATCTCAGCTTCTAATCAACTTACGATGTTTTTTTTAAATTCGAAGAAAATTAAAGTATAGAGGTTATTATTTTATTTTATAATAATTACTTATCTTAACAATTTAATAAATATTAACATTTTTTCAAAGTAATGTTTAAACAAATTAAATTTGAAAAACTAAATTCTCAGTAAATGCATATGTCAATACAACTATTTAGGTACAAAAACAACTAATGATCGAAACTCTACAACGCCTGTGAGCTTGGGAAAAATGAATTGAAAATAGCATCTTCTTAGATAACAAATTCCGCCAACGCCAAACCAATGAAGCTTTCGGGCTGAAATTTTTATCACTTATTAAGGGTGTAAAAAGCCTCAAAAATCCTGAATTACAAGTGTCTACGATGAAAATTGCACTAATTCACAGGTAAACATTTGATCTAAGCGGGAACACCGTAATCGGTATAGGCTACTAGGGGTTTTTGGGGTCGCTGATTACGATGAGGGTCAGTTAACCTCCATCACGTCAGGTTCAAGGTCATTTGAAGGTCAAATGCAGAAAGCCATACAAAATCTGAAAAAAATCATGGATATGTTTTTGAGGTCGGACAATCCGAATCTGAGGTCAGCTAAGCTCCACAAGGTCAAGGTCATTTGAAGGTCAAATGCAGAAAAAGCCATAAAAAATCTGAAAAAATCATGGATGTTTTTGAGGTCGGACAATCCGAATCTGAGGTCAACTAAGCTCCACAAGGTCAAGGTCATTAGAAGGTCAAATGCAGAAAAAGCCGTGGAAAAGTCTGAAAAAAATCATGGATACGTTTTTGAGGTCGAGGAATCCGAATCTAAGGTCAGCTAAGCTCCACAAGGTCAAGGTTATTTAGAGGTGAAATGCAGAAAAAGCCTTGATAAAATGTGAACAAATTCATCTTTATGTTTTTGGGGTCAGGAAATCTGAATCTGAGGTCTTTGAAGTTCCAAAAGGTCAAGGTTAAGGGATGAAGTAATTTTTGAAAAAATCTGAAAAAATGATGGTGGATTAAGGTGAATCCAGACGTTTTTATGTCTAGAATATACAAGTTACTTCTGAGGATACTTATTGGGAGCTGTGTCAATTCTTTTTTACTTTTATACTTTTACTACCTTTTATGCTTCACTTGTGAGCTTAAACTTGATTTGTAGTGTGATCTGAAATGTTACTTTTTTGCAATATGGTACTTTTTTTATTAAACCCTAGTAAGGCAAAGTAGCAAAGCTCATAAAATTTCGGTTTCGTACATGAAAATTTATGTGTGGTTGCACCCAGGGCACCTCCACGCTGTGACGGTGGGCAACGGAGTTGTTTCACTATCCGGCGAAGTACCTGGGTGATGGCTTTCATGCCGTCATGGCAACCGCACATAAACAAAT